CATCACTCTCTATACCGCATCAATACAGCCTCACAGACCACAACAAGATCTGAGGGTCGATAAAAGAACGAACCGATATGTAAACAGGCAGTGGAACCATCTCATACCTTTACCACGTCTCTGATTTAGCTGTTCCATCTCTTATGATTCTACAGTTTGGTGTTTATTATTAAGTGTCAGAATTAAGTCGTCTGTATGAGGATTTAATGTGAGTAAAAGTATTTAAAAGACAATAAATAACTCGCCTTTCACGGACCTCCATCACCACATTCCCACGATCACCCAGACCTGTTATGGTGGAGCTGCTCCTTGCTGTCTCATCTGACACCTGGGTACTACCACTCACCTGCCCTATACACCTGGGTACTACCACTCACCTGCCCTGTACACCTGGGTACTACCACTCACCTGCCCTGTACACCTGGGTACTACCACTCACCTGCCCTGTACACCTGGGTACTACCACTCACCTGCCCTGTACATCTGGGTACTACCACTCACCTGCACTGTACACCTGGATACTACCACTCACCTGCCTGGACTTAAGGTCACACAATTCACACTCTTATAACTAACTTCCTTTCAATATCCCTACCTGTAATGGTCACCTTCCTTGTCTAATTATAAATAAACAAGCTATAATATTTCTCTGTACAGTGAATATTGTTTTCAGATAAAATCCCACTGAGCATCTACCTGAAAATCAAATCCCTTCACTAAAATATGAACACAGACAAAATCTCACTAGTTCAAGTTCGCCCCACACATGACTTGGCTCCGTCACTCAGCATCATTGTGTATGTTGTTGTTCCCAGGATAGCGTCGGCCTCTCACGGAACACCTCACTCACGCTACACATAAGAAAAGATCTTTAACATAACCACAAGGAGAAGAAAAATTATGGTACGATGACTTCTTTAGATTGTGTTTTTTACGTGGACTTTTTCGAGTTCATTCCCTCACCCTCGCCTTCACCCTCGCCTTCACCCTCGCCTTCATCCTCGCCTTCACCCTCGCCTTCATCCTCGCCCTCACCCTCACCCTCGCCTTCGCCCTCACCCTGAACTCGTACTCAGTCTAACCCCTTTTCAGTACGTTACCTTTCTCTTGAGTACTATGAATCTGTCCATTGAGTAAGATATGTTTCCCCCTAGTACAACAACTTAATCCCCTTGTGTACACTATTCAATCCCTTATGTACAATTTATTAAAAAAAATCTTGAAGGAAATTTGGTCATGGTTAAATGAAACGAGAGAAACAGGCCCGTATCACTAATTCTGCCTAACTCAAAGTGATTTATATATTGAGAAGAAAACAGTAATTAGTGAGAAGAAAGACCTACATCATTGCTGGTAAACAAAAGGGTGGAAAAAAAATGTTACGCGAACAAAATTAATCTTATTGTGTGAGGATATGGTTGTGGAAGGACGACTACGAACACCTGGCACCTACAGTCCACCCAGCTTATATAAGAATGTTACTTTTATATCCAGGTGAAATAAACAGATTGAAAATATTGAAATACCAAGAAATATACGCCAAGATGCCACCATTTCACCGAAGCTGTTGTTTACTGTGGTGGTGGAAGACATTATTAGAGCAGTAAGTTATAGAGGATCACGTTAAACCTAATTAAACTACTTTTATTTTGCCAAGGAGATAGAAGATACTTCAAATTACCTGTCCAACTAAGTTCTCTCTCTCTCTGACTCTCTCTCTCTCTCTCTCTCTCTGACTCTCTGACTCTCTGACTCTCTCTCTCTCTCTCTCTCTCTCTCTCTCTCTCTCTCTCTCTCGCGGTTCGTCAACCTTGAGCCATATATTAATTCACTTTCGTCCGTACTGTCACTAGCTGGCTGCCTTGCTTACCTACGTCTTACCTCCACCTGTTATGGTATACCTCCTGTGGTCTATTCGTTGTGGTATACATGTTTTATCTACCTGTTATGGTTCTTAATGTCCCTGAATAATTTGGCATCGTCAGCGAACAGTTGTATGGAGGAGTGTATAGTATAGCTTCTGGCATGCCATTATGAAGCAAATAAACAAACAGCAGTGGCTCCAGTACACTACCCTGAGGAAGCTATTATACCCAGCTTGTCATGGGTACGCACACTGCTTGCGGTCGTAAAGAAAGTCTGTCCGATCCACGCTAGGATGCTCCCCCAAATTCCGTCAGTTTGATTTTACTGTCAAGCTATCAATATAAAACATCTCTCAGGGTGAATGGAGGTGTCGGGGCGGCGCTCCCGTGGGCTCCGGCAGCACTGCACCCCTGTCTCTGGTTGTTTCTGTGTGCACGACTCTCTAACATGTTAATGACGACACACACAGCAAACTACTAACTTAAACTGTGAGCTTTGTATCGTACCCCCTGCAACCTAGCTGGTGTTTTAAGGAACCGGAAACGGAAAATATCAAGTAAAGGGATGACTCTTGTAAAATACGGGTAGATAACTTTACTTTTTAAATTTTTTCCTCTTAACCACTGGTCAGTTAGTTAGCCGTTTAGGTGGTCGGCCACGTCTTTTTTATACACTGTTGGCAAATATTGGCTCCAGAATGTATCTGTACCTGCTTCAGATATGGTCAAGTCAGGCATCCACCAGCCCCAGGTATGAACAGCCGATTGAGTAATGTCCTTTGAGATGTTTATAAATTTGTCAGAGACTCTTATAGTTCTCTCTTTTTACTTTTTTTAAGGACTAACCCAAAATATCCTTCAATGAGGTACCAAAGAGCTCAAGAAGGAAACAAAATAAGCAAAGGATCAGTCATATACTGAAAACGACATATTATTCAACCTTGAAGCGAATTGAATAATCAGCTAGGTTCCTTAAATTAACCTTTGGTATGCCTTCATTGTATATACTAAACCAGTACGAACTCGTGCGGTAATTTTACTTAATATATGTTTAGTGTTGATCCTTATCCCGCCCTGGGAGCGCCTGTAAGAGTTCTAACGATTATATAGCCCCACGACGGTGAATTATACTGCAAGGGGTAAATCACACTCTTCCCACTAATGTTACATTGTTGGTAAGCCAAATATGTTGATACTCTCGTAATATGTTCTTTATTCTAACTCGGTTCTATTGAGTATGTTGTTATGGTGTTCTTACCCTTAAATAACACTTTACATACTTGCTCCCTCACTTCCTAAATTAGCTCGACTAAGGACTTTGAACACCTTACACGGTATCCTCCCCTTAGACATATTCAGTCAGTGAGAAAGTAACTATTCACTCCTACCGAAACTCACTCAGTGTAAAAAACACTTGGAGGTGCCGGGGATTGAACCCGGGACTTCTCACATGCGAAGCGAGCACTCTACCTCTGAGTTACACCCCCACAGTCATGGATTAGGACTTTTACCTAATATTGGACTACATTATTTGACCTTAATTATATTATACATTGTCATTTATTTGTGTTATTCATGTTAATTTGGGAAGAATATGGCTGCAGGTAAAAATAATTAGAGCATAAGACAACTGTCTGGGAGTCGAAATACAGGAACTTGTTGTTTCAGATGCAGCTCAAGTGACCTCGTTATTAGCACCATGTTCGAGCGGCCCTTTAATCAATGGGTATTTTCCAAGGGATAATAGGTGTTACCGGGACTTTACTGTATTATTGTTCATTTCCTTAATTTTACTGTAAAATTATTTGGATTACGTAAGGATTAGCCCCCTCCCCAGCTTATTTCACATTAAAATTAACCACCTCACGCTAACTGACCCAAACATTCGACCTGTGCACTCGTCTTTTGGCCTCTATTTCTTTACCCTCTTATCTTTAAGTAGGAATTAATTTATATGTTTGACAACTGGAGTACTGTAGCTGCTCTGGAGATATATGTCAAGCACACACACATGGCTTCACAAGTGGGAATTTATGCATGATAAATCTATTAAGGACAGGAAACACAGTTAGCATTAATGGTACTAATCTGACGTGGACTCAAAAAACTATAGGAAGTTCTAAAGGAACTTTACTCATGATCTGAAAAATTGCAGATCAAAATTAATTCGAAAAACTGTAAATTACTTAGAGGGAGTTGTGAATATGGGTATACTGTACTGTTTAAGTGCAGTACTGTACTCCCATGAGCCATGACCTTACACCGTATACAGTACCTAGTGTACATTGATTATATTCATACTGAACTGTATAACTGCTAAGTTTATATACATGCCTATACAATCGTAAACCTGTATGATAATTTGACAAAATAATAATAATAATTATTATTATTATTATTATTATTATTATTATTATTATTATTATTGTTATTGTTATTGTTATTATTATTGTTATTGTTATTGTTATTATTATTGTTATTGTTATTATTATTGTTATTGTTATTGTTATTGTTATTGTTATTGTTATTGTTATTATTTTTATTATTATTATTATTGTTATTGTTATTGTTATTGTTATTGTTATTGTTATTATTATTATTATTATTTTTATTATTATTATTATTGTTATTGTTATTATTATTGTTATTGTTATTGTTATTATTTTTATTATTATTATTATTGTTATTGTTATTATTATTGTTATTGTTATTGTTATTGTTTTTATTATTATTATTATTATTATTATTATTATTGTTATTATTATTGTTATTGCTATTGTTATTATTATTGTTATTGTTATTGTTATTATTATTGTTATTGTTATTATTTTTATTATTATTATTATTTTTATTGTTATTGTTATTATTATTATTATTGTTATTGTTATTATTATTGTTATTGTTATTGTTATTATTATTGTTATTGTTATTGTTTTGTTATTATTATTATTGTTATTGTTATTATTATTATTATTATTATTATTATTATTATCATTATTGTTATTGTTATTATTATTGTTATTGTTATTGTTATTATTATTGTTCTTGTTCTTGTTATTGTTATTATTCTTATTATTGTTCTTCAAGTGTCGCCGGCCATCACAGCCTCCGTGGGTGTCGTCGTCTGCTCGAGGCAGAGGCAGCATGGTTAAAAGTATTTTCCACACAAGTTCCTTTTAGTTATTAAAAGCTCACGATATATTCTATAAATATGAATAATAAAATATGATATATCATATAAATGTTATCTTACATATTAGTTAAAGTATCTAGCACTTATCTATTGTAAAACATAAAACAGTATTAAACACACTGTGAGCGACCTGTAGCAGAAGACGCCATGGCTGCCTTAACTAGGAAGGTCTTGTCCAGGTTTAACACAGTGAGTTAATCTATTATATTTATACTTACATTTCCTTAACAAAAGAAGAAAGCTTTATTAATTAATGTATATATTAGACCATCACTGAGCCAGTTAAATGTATAAATCATGTTAAAGTGTGAGCAGTTCGGGGCGGCAGGTGGAACACTGTGCCTGTGATGTGAGCTCCTAGACTAGAGACTTTCCTTAGACTTTAATCCTCTACACGAGCTCCGGGAACAAGCATGACCTCTCTGAATGGGAACAGTAATAGTATAGAAAAGGGTCGCAAATAAACAACGGTGTTCTTATTAGAGGAAGGTGGGGTATATACCTGGGGGAATCTGGGATTTTTAACACATGTAATAGATATATCTCATTATTTTGACGATCATTCTATAACACTTCCGTCGCAGGTGAATAATAATGGGTGATAGAACCTGACCTAACCTAACCTAACCTGACCTAACCTAACCTAACCTAACCTGACCTAACCTGACCTAACCTAACCTAACCTGACCTGACCTGACCTAACCTGACCTGACCTGACCTAACCTAACCTGACCTAACCTAACCTGACTTAACCTAACCTAACCTAACCTAACCAAAGAAACCTACCTAACTTACTGTTTTGGGAACTAACTCTCAGCCATATTAAAGAGAAAGTGCTTATTTTGATATATGGCACCAATGAAATTAACTATGTTGTAACGTCTTGATGTAATTTTGTTTTGTTTTTGTGTACATTAGAGTGAGCTCGGATAGGATGGGTCGACCACATGCACTGACTCGGCAGATTTTTCAAGGAGTATTTACAGTAAATAATTCATTTCTTTGTGTACAAAGCACATAGAGACATCATTTTAGTGTCATATGATCAGGTTTTCACCGTGTTTTACCCTGCAATATACGTCATCCTTTATGCCCTGGTTACAAAAGGTGATATATGATTGTAGATAGTGAAAACTAAAAAAAAGGAACATCAACATTGTTATTCACTTGCAACAATTGTATACAATGAAAGTTAATCAGATTGAGGAGATAAATCTATTACGTGTGTTAAAATACCTGATACCGTGGTTGTACGAAAATGAAATAATACCCAAAAAACCTTATGTCAATTTTTGAGGGGGGAGAAATTCTTCTGCCTGGAAAAAACAACACAAACTTAATATTATGACTTTTATTGAAAATATTGTACTGTTCTTGCACCATTAAGTTTACCTACTTTACTTTTTTTATTGGTAAAAGAAAAATGATCCCTCACTTCTAGAACATCTCATATATAGCCCAGGTGTTGAATGTGGTCTGATTTTAGGAGTGAATCACAGAACTGCCAGGCGTGAGTGTTGTATGTATCGCTCAGTGGGACCAGCTGAAGGCTTGCTCCCTCCCCGCATTAATTCACCCGGAGATTAACGATCCTAACACTTAACTGGGGAGGTTAACATTTGGATGGTATGGTTACTGAAGGTTATGTTAACATTTGGATGGTTAATCGTAGGTTGAAATAAGTTGCTCCTGGAATAATGTACTTGCATGTTGCTGCTGTCAACGTGGCAGACTTGCCCTGGTGCCTTATGAAAAAATTTGTAAGTAAAGAGTGGAAAAACAATGAGGATTTTCAGGTGACAACAGTACTGTACTGTGTAGCTATTACCATTTAATTGAAGGTTAATTATCTAGATGAAAATATTATACTGTACATGAATTAACATCATTTCACTTCATTTCGATACTATTTTATAGATATTCTTCATAGATATGGTACTGTAAAATTATTAATATTTTCAGCTGCGGCCAGTGGTGTGTGCTGTGCAGGCCCAGGGTTTGCATGGTGTCCCTCCTCTTGCCCATGCTGTTGTGAGTATTAAGAGGAAGGTGGTAGTATTTCAGTATGATATACAGTAGACCCTTGCCATTCATGGGTTTGCAATTTGGGATTTCGACGATTCGTGTTAAGCAGATAGTGGCTAGGTTGCAAACCCTTTCTCGCAGCATAACGACTCACCCCAAGCGCCCGCATCGTCTCTTCTCCGTCTGTTTGCGCTCAACCACTGCCTGTGACGCAGCATCTCGTGTTGTGCTCTCAAAACTTTAGTGTTTCTGTGTGAAATGGCCCTAAAAAGACTGCCTAGTGTCAGTGCTAGTGATGCTAGTGGAGTGAAATGTTAAAGGCAGAAGTCAGTGATGACTCTGACAAAGAAAGTTGAATTATTAGAAAAGTTAAAAGAGCGAATGAGTGCAGCTGGTCAGTTGTTTGGTACAGGTTTACAGTAGTGCACTAAGGTAGTATATGTTGCTATTCACGGTTTTGCCTATTTGTGCCATTCCTTGGAACCTAACTCCCGTGAATAACAAGGGTTTACTGTACCTTGATTTTTTAATACAAATAAAAATGTTTTGTGATTTAAACCTTAGTTGCATTGTACATGTATGGTCAATACTTTATATCGAGTAATATTTGGTAGAGGATGTGCCAGTGAACAATGATCCTAAGGTGTGTCAGGTGAGAGGGTGTAATAAGATATATTTGGGGCCTTGTTGAAGGGGAGTAGCATAGAGGAATACATCTGTTACTGCAGTAATATTGAATGGATGAAAGTATGTGTAGTGCTATAAATTATGTCTAGGCTTATACCAAGTGTTTCTCAAAAGCTAGGGTAAAATTATACGTAAGGTAGATGAAAAATATAGGCTTTTTACAGTGCTTAAGTTTAGTTCCTTTGCTGCTGCACTAAATTGTTATGCTTACTTTTTTGCTTCCTGTGGTTCAGATGCCTCCAGATTGGGTAAGTTAATTTTGATATATTTATACGTATACATTCTCAGTGAATTACATCATTATGATACTCAGTCTTTGCAGATAACCCCTGATACATACACAGTCTCAGCATGACAGAGCCACTTCATGTTCCCTAAGTACAATGGCATCACTAAAATGTAATTACAATATCTTTTCAACCACACTTTCTTTTGGACTTGAATATCTTATGTACTCAAGTATACAGTAACTTGAGTTTTATGGAAAAAGAAGGGGATCTCTCTATATATACCCGTAATACCCCCAGGCCCTGATGTAGGTCATTGACCCGTGCCTGGGTGGGCTAATCTCCGTAAAAAAAATATGTACGTATAGTGAATGAGGTTCTGCTCATCATGTAGCAACATAGCGAAAGATTCTAAGGGTATGGTAGGCAGGCTCAGGATAAAGGAGCTTACTGGTAAGGTAGCCTACCATGATCATGTACCGGTTAGCTATCGTTCACCATAAATGACCCACATAAATGCATGAATTTTAACCCTCAAAGTATATAGTTCGAACCCCTACTTTTTGCATACAAATTTTATCATAAAAACTTGAACTGTACCCGAGTACAGTACAGTATATACAGTTCTTTATCTTATAAATGCTATACTATTTTGCTATAGTGTTTCCTTCATTTATTTTACATCTCAAATATTCACAGCAAGCTCCAGTCAGCAAGCCAGAGGGACACACCACAGCAACGCTCGTCCCTGGTGACGGTGTGGGACCTGAGCTCTGTCAGGTAGTCTTAGATGTCTTCAAGAGTGCAGGTGTGCCTGTTGACTTTGAAGAACTCTACCTAACTGAATTGTATTCAAGAGAGACAGATACACTTAAAAAAGTTGTAGACAGTATCAGCCAGAACAAAATCTGTCTCAAAGGAATTTTGGCCACCCCTGACCACAGCTCAGATGGAGAACTCAAGACACTTAATATGAAGCTAAGGTGAGAGTTAAGAGTCTTGAAGTTCATAATTACTGTACACAACAGTAGTTCCAGTGAGTAAACTTATCTCAATTACTCTCTGATCGCTGTAGGAAACCTGTAGCAATCAGTAAGGTGAATTGTTGGATGAAATAAAGAAAAATTAAAGAAGTAACATTAAGGCATCTATGTTTATTAATGGTTTTAGTGTGGGAAAATGTAATGCAATTACAGTGTATAAGATTTGGACTTGGTTAAAATGTTAATTGATCTTTTACCTTTATAGAGATGAACTTGACTTGTTTGCAAATGTTGTACATGTCAAGTCTCTGAGTGGCCTCAATGTCCGCCATAAGAATGTGGACATGGTTGTCATTCGCGAGCAGACAGAGGGTGAATATTCTGCCCTTGAACATGAGAGTGTAACAGGTGTTGTTGAATGTCTCAAGATCACGACCCGAGAGAAGTGCCGACGGATTGCCAAGTTTGCTTTTGATTATGCTACCAAACATGGACGGAAGAAGGTGACTGCTGTGCATAAGGCAAACATAATGAAACTTGGTGATGGATTATTTCTCAAGCAGTGTGAAGAGGTAAGGAGGTTAAATTTTTACCTCTTAACTGGATATAATGATTGGTCTATAGAATAAATTTTTTTTAAATAGGCTGTAAAATTTAAATTACTTATTTCGACACTATGTTGGATGGTACACATTGTATATGTCATAGGAGTTTGCTGCTACATAGCTAAGCATAGTTACCCATACTTATCTTCCTTCAATCGCTTTAGTTTTTCACTGTTGTCTATAATTTCCACTCTACAGGTGGTGTATTTAGATTAGCTGTGTTTCTCGTTAGGAAATAGAAAGATTATGCTGTAACACAATCTCTTTAGCCATTAAACTTCTCACACCCTCTCAGAACCCCTTCCTCGTATGTGCATTGAATTGACAGTTTAGAAAAAGAAATGACATGATAGTATCCTATGTAAAAATAAAGAATAATCTTTCAGAAAAATAAATTATATTCCTGTGTTATATGAGTAAATAGAACATGTAACAAAAATCAAACAAACAGTGACCAACAACCTTTCCTGGCCATAATTCACTCTCCACTTGTAATTGATGCTGGTATATCAGACGTAATACTTCCCCCTTCATAATCACTGCTGAAGACAATCTTTTGGTTTTTGCTTGATGTAATACACTTGGGATGCTTCCACTTGTTCTGATGGGAGGTGCTGGGCATAACTAAGCTCTGGACATGAGTAGGCTTGCTTATCTTTCTGCATCAATACTAACGCCTATAAGCACCTGGAGTAACCATATCATACATAGCGCTGAAAGTCGGTTGGAAAAAGCCACGTGCCACTTGACATGTGGAGGAGTTCAGGTGTTAGGAAACATCTTGGTCACAAGACATCAAGGCACACACATTTACACATACACACACACTGTCGTTAATTCATCTTTGTTTTGCCCCAATTTCAAACAACTTGTTCTAACATTTGCTGTTTTCAATTTAACATCGTTTTGCTATCACAGTAAGTCCTCCTCCATCCTGGGGGTTAGGTTTCTTAGAATATGGTGTTTTGAGTGAAACTGTGTTATAGGAGGAATTTGTTATTTTATGGGATTAATGAGGATATGGGAGAGTGGCCACATAAATTGTCAGATAATTCTTACATAGATACGTAAATCTTTTGTATACTGTACTCATAAATAAAAATCCCTACCTACTGTATACGCTACTGCATTTGAACTAAAAATTAAACAAAATGAAACATCCTGTACCTGTATAGACATTCGCATATGATAAAAGAATATGCCATCTCTTGCAGCCTCTTTTGTGTCTGAGGTAATTTCTTTAACCATTCCCCATGTCATTATTGGCTTACCTCCAGTTCTTCTGCCCTTCACTTTCAAACTTGTGCAGTTAGACTCTTCCATTTTTATCAAATGCACCTTGCCAATACTTTCAATAACCAGCCACCTTCCTTGATCTGAATAGGGTTTCCTGTCTTTGTGTTATATTACACATCCATATTACGCTATTCTTACTCTAGTTTGCTCAAACCTCCATAGTTCATATTCTTTATCTGCCCATACAACATCACACTTCTCACGCTAGTTGCATACAACTTTCTTTTTCACAAAGAAATTATTCTCTAGTAAAGCCATCAGCTCACTAAGCTTCGACCAGCCACTCATAAATGCAAACTTCAATTAACCTTTTGTGAAATTTCACAAGGAATTATGATTTATTTATATTTTCAGGTTGCAGCGATGTACCCCACAGTAGAATTTAATAACATGATCATTGACAACTGCACCATGCAAATGGTGTCAAACCCACATCAGTTTGATGTTCTGGTACTTCCCAACCTGTATGGCAACATTGTAGACAACTTAGCTGTTGGGCTGGTGGGTGGAGCAGGTGTGGTTGCTGGAGCTTCTTATTCTACCCGCTGTGTTGTATTTGAACCGGTAAGTAAATATCGTACAGCATTTGGATATTAGTACAGTAATGTGAAATATCTCGGGGCTAGAAAATCATTGAATGCAGCTAAACTCTTACCTCATGAAAATATTCCTGACTATATCCCCCCCCCCTCTGTACTTTTTAATGTACACTTCTCTTTACAAGAATATCAAACTTACTGTTTCCTGAGGCAACCTCCTTATATAGTACAGTACAGTACAGTACAATATTTATCCTACTAACCTGTTAGTGTCTGAAGGCCTGCAGTGTAGAGGGATTTACCCGTCAGCTTAGACCATCTCGGTATTTGCAAAGCAAGTCTTGAGATTACTGTATACTCCTAACCCTCCATGATTCTCCAGTAAGTTTTAAAACCTGGTAGAACCTCTTGTTTTAGTATACCTATCATCTTGGCTTTCATTTCTCTGTACAGGCATAGCACATATAGTGCTTGACATGCATTCTTGGGAAATAAAGTGCGAGAAGCAGTTAGTACTATACATTAAGGTTTAATAGAGATGCATTTTTGGCAGCTTTTTTTCTTATACATGTACTGTATATGAGGGCCTCGCTGGTCAATAATAGCACTAATAATGATATAGTACTCATAAATGTACTGAAATATTTTATAAGTGTAAAGAGTAGTTTTTGATGATGATGGATATCATTAACTACAATAACTTAGTACTCACCAGTGAATTCAGAACTTGTGTAAGATTGACCAGTCTGCTGTTTATGAATTAAAATAAAAATTCAGTAAAAATATCTATAAAACAATGATTATTATAATGAAATGTGTTCTAGGAGTTATGTCCAAATCCTGAAAATTTATTTATATTAAAGATTTTGGATTTTAATGGAAAGAGGAGTGTAGCTTTGAGTTCTATGCATTTCATATTTCTGTCATAATAATGTACAGTATATGAAGAAAATTTTAACATTTTACACCACCATTGAACTTGCCAAACCTGTAGTGATAATCGGTTTTGAAAATAAGCTCCAAACATCCCAAAAGAGCTTATTGATCAGTGATCATGAGAGGTAATGTCTTACATAAAGTGACTTTTGCAGGGTGCGCGTCACACGTTTAGTGAAGCTGCTGGTAAGAATGTGGCTAATCCAACTGCAATGCTCTTAGCCTCTGCTAACATGCTGCATCATCTTAATCTTCAACACTATGGAGACATGATTCAGAATGCAGTTGATCGTGTTATTCGCATTGGAAAGGCAAGTACTCTTTCAATGTTTTTCATTTGGTTTTTGTGTTGGTGATCGTATCCTGTAATCAGAGTATTGTATAATGTATGAATAAATAGATTTTTCAGAACAATAGCCAAAGAAAATGATTCTTGAATGGTCACAACTATTTACTGTCATAATTAAAGTAGCTACCAAAAATATGGCATCATCGATGTACTGTATTAGATTTAGCTACATTTATGATTTGAAATTAGTTAAGGGATATAGAAACATTAAAATCCATTTTATAGTCTGGCCTGGAACTAATTGGCATAAGTTTAAGTACAACAACAAGCCATTAGTAAAGACCCATAAGTCTATAGAAGATTTACAGTGTGTGTGTGTGTGCGCGTGCGCCTTTATTTCCACCTAGAGAATTTAATTTGGGGAAGGGAGAGAAATCTATATTTACTGCACTTGTGTGAGAAGTGCACCCAGTAGTGGGTACAGAGAATTGATGACAGTACAATACAGTGAGAAAGTGTTTGATTTTTATTTATCAAATTAATATTAACTATGTAAGAATATCCAATGGATATAGTATCAGGGAGAAACCAAAAAAGGGTGGAATAAGAGGAGGAGGAATTATGTATACATACAGTATTAGGAAATAAATGTACAGTAGTTGTAACCTGTATATAGAATGTCTTGACTCGCGCACTCTTGTAGATATGTAAAAATGGCCATTAAGTAATGATTAAAACTTAAAATATTATTCTCTGTCATTTTTCTTGGCTCGGTATTTTCAGGTCTTGTCTTTTTATTTTATTTGTGAAGTCTTATATTCATTGAACTTCATTAAGGCTTTTCACTTGAATGGTTGTGCCTACGACTGTATACTGCCTGGCATTGTGGCTCCATCTCGGATATCTCCTATTCTCTCATTTTTCCTTGTTATTCTTATTTCTATCTCTCACTTTGATCCTTACGTACCTATAGGTCAGGACGAAGGACATGGGGGGTTTTGCTACGACTACAGCCTTCGCAAATGCAGTCATCGCCAGCCTCAAGCATTGAAAATATACGCTGCGAGTCTCTTTTTTTTTTTTCCTCAATGCTAGTCATGATAGTAGATATTTATGAAAAAGAAGAATAGAAAAATGTAAAACTGGGAATTTATGTACAATACAGTAATACTAAAATGAGAAATATGTCATATACATTAAAGATGTCATGTTTCTCTGGTTATATAGCTAGACATAATTTTTTTTTTTTTTTTTTTTTTTTTTTGGCTTTTAGAATATTAGCCATACAATACCTACACACCTGAACTGTTAATTGGTGAGACTCGGATAGTTTCCAGCACTGATTATGCTTCATCACAACCATGATAAACTCTAAAAACTGTAGTAGAGACAGGTAACTGCTTTCCTCTAGTCCACTGATATCTCCTTAGCCCTATGTAGACTATTAAACTACGCCGTATATTACCATCTTCTATTGGAAGAATGGCGTACGAGGCATAAAAATATGGCAAAAATCATTATCTTCTCAAAAAAATTCTCCTGGGTGGAGTTGGCTGATGATTCCATGAACTCTGTACCGCTGATCAATTGTGGCGACAAGATCTAGCTAATGTGGTGTGGAATCTGTAAATCTCTGTGTTTTGGGACAGTGACTTCATGAATGTGCAGTCTACATAGGGTTAAGTCACCCTTCCATTAAATTACTGAAGTGATTGATCTCTTGTTGGCTACCTGTGTAATGACTGTTTTTCCTCATTGTTAGCATCTTCGCATGTTTTCCCCAAGAGAACCATAGTCCTTGTGGGTAATCTTCTTGTCTTACTTTTTATTGTTGAAAATAACACAGTCTATACTTCCTGTATTGTGCCTCTTGATGTTACATTACATTGTGTATCTTTTCAACCATTAATATTACATACCCAACATCTAGAGAATTTACTAAACTAGGACATTTTAACCATAAAGTTCATGCATTTGTCCAATACAGTACATTATTGTAGATATTGTAGATCTAACAAAATTGCATGTGTTCCAGGCACCCGATGGAACCATTGAGTCACCATCGAGATTTTAACCTTAAGAAATCAATATTGAGAGATTAATATATTTTTCCCCTTTATAACTACAGCTACCATAACTTGGTTAAATGTTAGAAAGAGATAAAAAAATAAAAGCAGTACAAGTTGATGTAAAAAAAAAGATGTACAGTATTTGTGACAACCTGAATTTGTAAAAGAAATAATCTAACAAGTTGAACCCATTATATTTGGTCCATTGCTGGTATATATGCCATACTGTATAAGAATTTAATTGGAAAGTGATTTGGTTTGAGATTTGGAAAATATATTCCATAAATAAAAAGAATTTTTCATTCATATTTCTAACATTTATTACACAAGTTCTGAAGTACAATTGCAGTTTTTAAAGATCTTACCTGAGTAGCTGTAAAGTTGAGTTGTTTGCATGAGGAGTAGAAAATGCATGTAGACTCCCCACAAGACAGTGTGTGTGTTAGGGATTTACAGACAAATAACTCCTTTTTTATCTTCATTTTGTTTTGTAATTAGTAAACATTTTCATAATACAGTACAGTACAGCAGACCTGACTTGATAGCAACTGTCGAGATGAAATATGTTAATTTGATTTTCTTTATTATTTACTTTGCATGTTTTAGATTTATAGAAGATCTTTGTTACTGTTGATTTTTGTTTAGTATTATGTCTCATTTTTTGTGTTTTATTTTTTTTATTAATCCCACTTAATATCATTTTTGTTTTGATCTTTTTTTTATTTAGGTTCGCACCAAGGACATGGGAGGCCACTCAAGTACCTTTGACTTTAGTAGAGCTGTTATTGCCAACTTGAGGTATTGAAAGTATTGGGGAAAGATCAAGTGTTGTAAAACTATCTCACTCTTTTGTTCGTAGTACTGAAGGTAGAATGTGACCTATCCAACATTAACCTCATGTAAGAGAATATGATCATCATATATCATATTCATATTGTTATTTAGAAAGAAAATTTGAATACTGTAAGAAATCTCGATATTTCCATGTGTCTAGAATACCACAGTCTGTCGCTGTTTATGACGTCATGTGAGGTGTGTTGTTAAAAATACTACTGTGGTTATTGTCTGACTATAAATTACTGTATACCTGTATGTGTATGATCCCCGCATAGTAGTACTCACTGTCTACATACATTTCAAATACTTGTTCTTTATGACGTACATTACTTTTTGCTGTACACTATTTATTTTTGGTCCAGGATTTGCCAAAATTTTGTTAAAGAATATGCAATGTGTAAAATTTATGGAAGTAATAACAGGTGTTTGACACTTCTGTAATTGCAATCACATAGTTAATTGTTTTACAAAATGGTGATGATCAACTTTTTAGATGAATTACATGTGAGCTGAATCAAATTTTTTAATTAAAACCAAAGTAACAAACTTTATGAGCAAAAAAAATTGTTAATTTATAACTCTTGTGCCTAAGATGATATATTTTTATGATTGTTCAAGTTCAACATATTGTGTATGTTTTTATTTTGTACACCTAATTTAAATGTAGGCTACTGTGTGCTACCAGTGTTTTGTAATAGTGAATTTAGATTTCAAGAACACTCATCAGGTATCACAATATCTAGTTTGGAATTCATCTGGAGACAAATATGATTGGTAGAAACATCAGATATTGTAGTATAGTATTATTAGATTTTCTCAATTATTGTTGTTTTTACTGTAAAACAATTTCCTGTTGAATATCCATATTTGTGGCAATTTAATTATTAAGTGATACATAGCTAATCTCTGCAGACTCTTTGTCTACCTAATTTTTTATATTAAGTTGGTTGTGGGATACAGTGTTTCTTCTCTACCTCACTCAAAACTTTCTGCCAAGGTTGATCTTAACTTTTAACTCATTTTCCAGCCAAGAAATAAAATATTACCTGTCATTAAGAAGGAAGACTTCTCTAAAAATTTAATTCATTTGTTAAATTTTTTATCATGTTACTGTCAGCCTGTGTGTAAATTTTGTACTGGCAATCATGCATTACTTTTTTTATATTTTGATAAACCAATATTTTGGATTGGTTGCATATTGTGTTCTTAAACTCACTGAAGAATTTTGTTAGTAGCTGTTTGTAATAATTCAGGAAAAGAAAATATATCAAACAATATATTACATGGTTTTGATGAAATTTATTGTGGGTGTAATACAACATAAATACAGTACAGGTAGTTTTATTCAGACTGTGAATTATTGGAATGTGAAACAGATTCTCATATCTTGTAAATAATGTAAATATACAAACAGTGGATATATTATGCTAGTTCTTGTATTTCCTTTACCTTTCATTTTAGACAAACTTTATATCAGTGTTTGTGTTTAGGATTTTGCTGATTCATGATTTTAAGGTTATGAGAACAACCTGTCACAATAATGATTTACCTCTTTCTTACTTATAGATTTTCAGATAACCCTTGGAACTCTGGTTAGTATGCTACTATAGCTGGTGAAATACATATTTAACAAGATAGTTATGGTAAATTTTTGATATTGAGAGAATTTTTTTACTTTCTTATTATAAACTCATGTCTCCAAAATTTGCTAAACAAGTGATACACTACCAGACTTGAGACAGTGCAGTATTATAGTACAAATGTAGAATCTATCTTCACATTACATGCTGGAAATTCCTAGTATCTTCAACCCAACAACTGTTTTGTTCACTTATTATTTATTACATTGATCAAGGTATATAGTACAGTACTCCCTCACTTTAAACGAGGAATGCGTGTCTAGAAAAGGGCATTTTGCTTTTTTTGTATTATTCTGTAAGTATTTAATTAGTTACAGCCCTTCAATTCCAATTTTGAGAGAAAAGTACATTTTTGGGTAAATATAATTAATTTATTTGTAATTGAGATTTTGCCAGATGCTTCTGGTAACATTGTACACGTACAGGGGTACCTAGTGACAGCACTAGGATCCCGTTTCCTATGATATGGAATAAATTGCTGAAATTGAAGAGATATAATGCAAAGTGTATGAATTCTCAGCCGAACCCTTTTGATGACACGAGCAAACAAACCATTCCCACGCAACCCACAACCCAGACAGAGGTTAGTAGTGTTTATGAAGTTTTTTATTGCAAATTGTACATATATATTTTTTTAATTCCGTTGTAATCATTGTGTGAACTATACAGTAACAGTTGTGTTTAGATTGTGGAAAATAGATAATAAGATTAAATAAAGTCCTTGAGCTTTTTTTTTTTCTTTTGGGACAGACGTCCTTAAATCAGTGAACTTTTCCAAACTTCAACATATCTTACTGTTATCCTCTTCACCACTGATCGACTTGTTAGCCGCTTGGGCGATCGGTCACGTCTCTGTTATGCACTGTTGGCAGGTACTGGGCATGTACCGGCTCCTGAATGTACCTGAACCTGCTCCAGTGCCTGTCAAGTCTGGTCTTGAAGGAGCTCACACTCGGTGCCGTCACAACGTTCTCTGGCAGATTGTTCCAAGAGTTCACAACTCTCACTCCGAAAAAGTTACCCTTCACATTTTTCTGGGCTTGCGGCTTCTTTAACCTTGAGCTGTGACCCCTTGTGGAGTGAGTGTCCACCAGCTCCAGGTAAGGGCACTTGACTAAGTAGTGCCCTTTGAGATACTTATACACCTCAATTAGGTCTCCCCTTGCCCGTCTGTAGTATAAGCTAGGCAATTTCAGGCACTAATCTCTCAGGGTAGGTGAGGTGTTGTAGTGCAGGCACCAGTCTGGTGGCCCTCCTTTGGACATTTTCAATCAACTGATATTCCCTAGTATATCTTGGGGACCAGACGGGGTGACAGTACTCCAGATGGAGAAGCATTTCACACTTGAAGATCGTCATGAGGGACGGACCGTCTAGATATGTGAACGACCTTCTTATAAGTCCTAATAATTTAGTTGCCTGATTTACCTTGTTCTCGCAATGGCCCGAGAACTTTAGTTCATTGTCAACATACACACCTACGTCCTTTTCACATTCTGTCTCATTTAATGCAGTTTCTTCGTCCCGTTGGGACATATGATACTATAACAAAGGTTTTGGGTCTACTTACTTTACGCGGTCGGGGTGGCACTGTAGTTACCAAAGGGTGTCACTTAACTCTATATACATGTTGATATCCAGCCATCTGTTACTGGGGGTAACCCTTTATTTTAGATTAATGTATTAGTTAAGAAGGGTAGTGAAAAGAGATATCTTCCATTTTAAGTTTATTCAGCAAGGACGTGACATGAGGGCACATGCTTTCGTCCTATTTCTAACTAGATACCGTGGGGGAAAATGGAGCTCATTATACACCCACAAAACTATAGAAAAAACATTAGGTACACATTACCCAGTCTTCAGTATCGACTGTCGCCGGGCCACACACAGGAACCTCACACCCACACTTCAACAGCCAAACTCTGTCTGTCTTTTTTACACTGCCTATACTGCTGCCGAAGAGGCCTTTTCAGTCTCCAATCAGAGTAGGGTTTTCCAAGGGTCCTTATGTTATGTTACACTGATTGGTTGGCACACTGTATGGGCGGGGCTATCTCCATGGCACCCCATACAGTATAGGTTTACATTTTATTCTTGGAGGCTGTAACTAATTGTGTCCATCCGGTCTGACAAGTGCAATAACATTGTAACGGTCGTCCACATGGGTGCCTGCCTGTGTGAATGGGCGCCGGTCTGTGTGGGTGTTCCTGTTTATTACAATATGCCTCCTCACCATTGGTTCGTCCCAGGTACAGCCTCTTACACTTCGTGACATTGAATCTTAGCAGCCATTTCTTCGACCATTCTTGAAGCTTAGAGAAATCCTAATGCAGCTATTCACAGTCTGCTTGGTTCTTAAATTCCCCAAAGTCTCCGATCCACGCTAGGACATTTCCCCGAATCCCGTACCCTTCCAGTTTGATTTTCAGCCTTTCATGGGGTACACTGTCGACAGCCTTGGCAAAATCTAGGTATACTGTATATTGTTGATATTATCACCCTGTTCCAGAATTTGGGTCCAAATATCCATTACCTTGAGAAATTGTGTTAAGCAGGACTGCCCCAGCATAAAACCGTGTTGGCATTCCTTTACAAGTTTGTTTCTTAGTATATGTTCCATCATGTTGGCGGCCATTTTGGACTTCTGCTAGTTCATCACAACGACCAACTTAGTCTTGTCAATATCCCCTGAGACAGCGAAATAGTTCAACCTTGTTATTGTCAAGAAAATCAGATAAAGCATAATGAAGATAAGTCAAAGTAAAAAAAAAAGTAAAAGCATGTAAATAAAAGCAGAACAACCTAAACAGACGGATGAATAAAAGAAGTAAAATACAGTAATGAGAATAAATCCCAACAAAAGCCCCAGATGACCTCCTATAACCTGAAGGGACCGATTTTGTCAACCTTAACTGAAGAATGCGATCACCAATGGGAAGTGGCTACTCTGTTTATGTTGTAGTGTCTTTTTGATATTACCTGATGAATACGTACATCTTTAATACCTTACTGGTTTGTACTCACTTCATAGTCTAGCAGATAAACCTCTTCACTCTTATTATCTAAAGGAGAGGAGGGCGGGTGATATCCCATCCCCGTCCATCCTTGTAGTTTTACCAACAATGTATCTTTATCTCTAACATGTAACTGGTATTGTTTGAAAGAAAGGATTCCACACAGGATCTTCCCTTTTTTCTTCTTTTTCAACTCTGAGGTGTTACTCGTTGCTCAACTTGGCCTGCAGGACGCGGCGTCGTGAGAGTACGTCGTCCCATTCCCAGTAGCCACCCTCCAACACCCGCTCCCCTTCTATGGTATATGCCTTACGCCCGTGTAACAACCGAAAGTTGTCGAACACCAGAATATCACCTGTTGGAAAAATACAAGATTACAATACACTGGAAATTAAACTCTACAATCAATCATTAAGATGTATAACTGCATCTGTGATATACAGCTTTCTGCAGCTACAGGAAGGCAGCAAGTGACCTCCACATCACTAAACAATACGATATAACACACCTTGTCAACATGTTCCAATATTTGACTATGAAAAAAGACAGAGCCAGTTCTCCCTCAAGATATTTGCCATAATAACGAGAATATAGAAAATCATAACAACTATTAAGTGATTCAAAAACCTCTCCTTTACCAGAATACTGTACTGAAGGCATAAATGGTCTTCTCTCCGAGATGATCAAAATAAAATTCATTCACCAGTTAGTTCATACATGGACCTCACACCAAAGATAAAGTCGTGTGGGTCAGGATAGTGCTACTTGTGATAAAGGTTGAACACCACTATGCCATCATCTTTGACCAGCTCCATTATGCGTTTACCAATAACTCGTATCTTCACCTCCCTCACCCTTATCAGTTTACATTTTGGATTCTTGTCCAAGGGCATGAGGAGGCTGACTGTTAGAGCCTGTAGGGTGATGGCAGCAAGAGGTTCCCAGTTGGGTGACAATGGCGTTGTAGAGGTCAATTGCTGCATCGCTAAATTTGTTTGCGTTGAGGATGCTCCACCCGTCGGCATCCAGGCCTGATGGTCCTGTCCCGCCCTGGGTCTTTAATTCTTTTTTCTTCACCATCTCTCCTGTTATTTCCTCGAACAGAACACCGTTTGGTGAGGATATAGTCACCCTTGAATTTTTTGCTTTCCTCTTCACTTGCAGGAGGATATTTATCCTTCATAAGCTGTATGATCTCGCTGTTCATTGGCCAACACACCACAATAAGATCTCCGTGAGGCATATATTTGCAAGAACACTTTTCCAGCGAGTATTTTGTTACCAAACTGCCTGGCCCCATCATCGGTGTTCAGTCTCTCCTGTAGTGTTCTTGCCTCACTCAAGAGATCACCCTGAGTCCCCGTCTGCCACATTGATAGTCTTTTCTCCATTGCTTCATGCACGTTCTACTTGTGTTTACCTGGAAGAAAAAATTGGATATTCTTGCTTGTATTTGGAGGGCGGATAGGAGTAGAAGAGTGTCATCTGCCTGATCATTTCTCTGGAAGCCCCACATTTTGCTGATTCAAAGAGGTTTATTTGGGACCACCGAGCATTTCTGAGTAGGCATTATTGACCCACACCTTTGCCTCTTCTTTGAGTAAAATGGTGGAAAAAGATATGGCTGTGGGGGAAGGGTGGAGGACATTACAAAAGAAATAGTAGTAGTTGGAGTACTAATAACATTAGTTGTAGTAATATTTGTGCTATTATAATGGTTTCCCCTCGTGTAACGAGGATAGCCAGCCCAAGAGCCACCTAGACGTGAATTTGTTTAAGGTGTAGAAGCTGTCGCCAACACAACAACCACACCCTGAGATAACGAGTTGCATGACCCAGTACCATGGAATAGTCCGAGAAGCCCGGGCAACTCGCCAACTGCACTGGCTAACCATTACGCCGGAACACGATCCGCAAATCCATTAACATCCAGCTTCCCTATTACTGCTGGTTAGACCGAGGCAAATGACGTAAAGAAACTTGCCCATAGTTTCACCCTGCCCGGGGATCGAACCCGGGTCTGCTCGCTAGCGAGGTGAGCATGCAGACCACAACTACTACTACTACTACTTTTATTACTTCAACTCATATATCTTAATGAAAGAGTGGCATTGTTATTCTGAGTGGCCTATTAACTTTATAATCGACCCTAGTTCTTTTTAAGCTAAATAATTCGAAGTGACTCCTGAAAACATTTAATGAAGCGGTCCCTATGCTCAACAATTTATGCCCTTAATTAAATGCCTTGTAGACTAATTCGATTAAGTTTCGTATACAGATATGTACAAATAGAATATAAATCTTGAACATACCATCCTTCATCTTGTATTCGATACAGTACTGATTGTCATTGACCATATCTCGGAAGGTCTTCATAGCATCGTACCAGCCAGCAACCTCCTCCACTGGGACTCTGAAGTAAGAGTCTCGGGAGAACTGGTTGAAGTTGACTGACTGGATTTGTCCATTAATGTCAAGCCTGAAAATAGGTAACATCCAAGGATCTGTTGAACGTAATTACCATCTAAGAAATATTATACAAGTCGAGGTCAATTATTATTTCTTTATTTATCAAAGACATTTGAAGAAAACCGAGACATATTTAGTGTCAGCTGCAAGTATCACAAACTATCAGAAGATTTAGTAAGATTAGTAAGATTTATCTGTTAACAACATACTCACCTGATCATAGGGTCGTGATTTACTAAAAAAAAATCTCTACCATCCTCCACCCCAATATCAATAAAGTCCACAGGTGTAGTGGCGAGAATGTGGAATTTGTCAGGATGTAGAGTGCGGAAGTTGTGTGACACTTGGAATCCGTCGGTCAGCTGGTTGTCGCCACCCTCACCGTGAAACTGACGGATGCAGTGTAGCATCTGGATCTGTCGAACAACACAGAAGCAAAGTTTTATCTACAGTATTTTCTTTATATGGTATACCCACCTCTCCCAAGTAAGGTGGGTGTGTCATAAGTGAGAGGAGACAGCCAAGACCTTGTCCACTACCTCCCCAGAAATGTTCACGTCTATGTCGCAGTAGATGAACCGTGGCTATATTTTAGTTAAAGAACATTGATGATAACCTGAAGGACAGCTCCTTTATAGCCAATATATACCTACAGGATCAGCTGAGGAGCTCCTTACATGAGGAGAAGGTAGTATAAAACATAATTGTTATTAAACTTTGACCTTCAGCTATGACTCGTTAAATCTACCAAAAGCTGACATCTCATATAGTTTTTTTTTCACTGCGTCCGTGTAAACCCTGACTCTCTCTACAGTAATAAGTCAATTAACTGCGTAGCACTTGAGGGTATGATGAATGCTTTATAACACTTAACACACTCACGTCGGTGGATGACTCGCCATCTCATTAGCTCCTTTGCTCTTAAACCAAAGTTGTTAAAGTTTAAAATCCGTTCACTTATATTAAATGGGTGATGCCATGTTGGTGAGACGTGGCTAATGGATTATGTCTCTACCAACACTTGATCTTCAGTAAACATGTTAGACGAGGGACTATGTCAGTGGCTGAGGGATATAACCTTAATATTTTACCAAACATCTAGGAAAAAAAGAAGACGTTTACTCTTTATTGTAATAGTTTTTATGACAAGATATTTAATTAAACTTACGCATGGCTTGTATTTCCTGGACGGGATATCACTGTGCATTTCAAGTTTTGCTGCCGTATATGCCAAGTTGATTGGATCATTCTTACTCTCTACGATGAATGTCTCTCTGAAAAACAAAACAAAAAAATCTGAAAAATCAAATAATTAACACTGAAGACGGATGAAGTTGTCTTGTGGTAATGGCTGAGAGGAAGGAAGACGTGGCTGTGAAGATTGATACTCAAAAAGACGGGTTGTGATGTCAGTGAAATGGTGGTGCTAATGTTGTAATACAGGTTATGCACTGGTGGTGGTAGTGATGGTGATAATAGTGATAATGTTATTGTTAGTGATGATGATGATGCTGATGATGATGTTGATGATAGTGATGATGATGATGATGATAGTGATGATGGCAATAATAATGATGATGATGATGATGATGACGGCAATAATGATGATGATGATGAAGGTAATAATGAAAATAATGATGATAGTGATAGTGATGATATGATGATAGTGATGGTGATGATAGTGATATTAATGATGACCGGTAGTGACGATAGTGGATGATGGTGATGGTGGGTGGGTGGTGGGAGTCCCGCAGGAAATGGGAGGGCAGCATCAGGCACTTCCTCACCTCGACACAGCCTCCTCCGCTCTCCTCGGTGACCTGTTGCCTCCCCCCCCCCCCCCCAAGTGGATTTTTCCACTCCTAGACTAACCTGGCCTTCCCTCATTGTCCTCTCTTGTTCTCATTGTCCTCCTCCTTGTTATCTTGTCCTTATTGATACCCTCTTCCTCCCCAGCCATAAAATGGGACCTCATATGCTGGGATAATTTTCAAGACTGTTACGTAACACCAGACATTGCCCTAAGCCAGGGGTTCTCAACCAGGGAGGAATTTCCCCCCTCAGGTTTTCAAGGGGGGGAACTGATAATAATATGGAAAAAATAAAGGATTTTCAGTATTATATGCATATTATTTGGAATGCACTTTTTGAGGCAGACAATCTTGGAAAGGAGGGGGGAATGACATTCTGACATATGGTGAAAGGGGTGCATGGGGCAAACAAGGTTGAGAACCACTGCCCTAAGCGATCAATGGAATGAAAGATCCTGCGTCAGGAGACTTTTCTCATGATCAATCAAGATCCACACACCGAAGACTATTTGTTTTTCTCTGTTTCATGTCTCCTGATAAATACTGAAGTGATTAATCTTACAGTATTGAGTTGTGTTGTGTTGCGTCATTGCGGGTTGATCGTAAAGTACTTGACTGAGAGAGCTTTATTACTGCTCAACAGGTTGCCAGGAGGTATAATGAACACCTCATGCAGTTCTGTTACTAAAAAGTTTTCAAATTTTGATGTGATAGATCAGAAGAAGAAATATTTAATTATGTAGTTTTCCATGATATGTATTGGGAATGTGAGGCCATATTAAATGACTTGGCTCTCCTCCCTCCACCTAGTGGGTAGCAGTACAGTCGGCTGACTCTAGGTGTTGAAGCTCAAGTGGCTACTTATAGCCGAGCCTTCAGCACTGTGAAGATTAAATAATGACACTTCACCACTTGTTGACTTGGACCACTTTCGGGTTCTTGGTTGTGTTAGGAAGGTGTAACTAATTGCTGGGTTAGTTCAGCCATTTATCTTTGCGAGTTTTCACCTCTAGAGACTTCGTGTTATAATGCGAGAGTCGATTAAACTGAAGTTAGTCACAGAAGTGAGATTTGAAGAATCACTTCTCAATCTTCAAGCACTTACCCATAATGACTCCTACTCAAGTAGGCAACTCGATCACTCAGCCGATGTAGTTGTCCCAGTTTAGTGGGTGTGTCAGAGACCACCACCAGCCCGTGAGACTCAAGCTGCTGCAGGAACTGCAGGAGAGCTGAGTCATCCTGAAGCAGTTCTGGGAAGGAAGCTCTTGGTAAGTTCTCCAGCAGTTCCTTGCCCCAGAGTGTTGGCTTTGACCTGTAAACAAATGTCTATGATTATTAAACTTGAGATTACTAAATGACTTTATCAAGCAGTAATTGTGATTTGCAATGTAATAACAACTTGTTGTTGGAAAGATATGAACCAATAAATATTGACAAACTTGAACCTTAGCCATGAGCGCATCACGCGTGTGGCTGGAGCCTTTACTACACCGATACACTTAACACTGAGAGAAGTTGTACATAACAGCTTATCAATACAGTAGTGATAATTTCATCAAGAGGTTCTGTATTAAGTTTTATTTATCCCAGAGTGTGAAGCAATTGTGGTGTACATCTTTCAGCAACAAGGATACACTTAGTTCTGTTTACCTTACTGTGTTGTTACGAAGATCTCTTTTATGTGTGTTGAAGGCCCTCTGGTGGAGCCAAGTGGCAGGATAAGTGGCCAGGTGACCGTCGGACCACAGCACCTCAATCACTCTACCACTGTCAACCACCTGTGATGAAGGACACGTCTGTTACACATTGTTTCAGCTCCCGTTCTGGCACTGTACTCTAAAACACAATACCTTACGTCAGTATGTTTATATAACTGTTCCAGGATGTTAAAGAAATGCTGTTCTCAGTCGGTGACCACCTTGAACACACCTTCACCTACAGACACGAATCATACTGCAGGATTATTAAGATATATTTACCTGGATGTCAGATGGACTGACGCCGAGTTGGAGGTCCTCAACTAGCAGTTTTCGCATCTTCGACACAGGATGAAAACAAATAGAACATTGGCAGTTGTCTCGCAGCCATACGTATGGATACACATCTGTCCCGCCACCTTCCCAACACACCTGTAATACTCCAGGTGCAGTTTATGAGCGAAAACAAGAAAACAATTCTGACCTTCAATTTACAGGAAATAAAGTACAAATTCCAACAAGTACACCTCATGTGACCATCACATTTCCACTGTTCTGGTAATGTTAGAAATATTATAAAAGGATAGAATGCATAAATGAAATTTCCCTGTGTTTTTACCCACTCTTACTCTGAAAGGCTTAGTAAGATTTACGGTGCAAAATAATGATAGGTTGCACCAATATTTTTATATACTGTTATGAACATTAATGTGTCAAGTCTTCACTTTTGAAGATCAATAGATTGTCGGGTGCGTATTGATGAACTGCCATCGAGACACAGTCCTAGTACTAGTTGTGTTTGTTGCCTCTGTATGGCAGAATATTATAGTTCCTGTCACATACTAAACTGGAGCCGCCACTCGACCTTCTGAGTACCACAAAATATATGAAAATTTTACATATCGTTCACCCCTCACATCCTACTCCTCATCCCTCACCCTTCATCCCTCACCTACTACCCTTCACCCCTCACATCCTACCCCTCATCCCTCACCCTTCACCCCTCACATCCTACTCCTCATCCCTCACCCTTCATCCCTCACCTACTACCCTTCACCCCTCACATCCTACTCCTCATCCCTTACCCTTCACCCCTCACATCTCAATATACACCCCTTACCCTTCACCCCTCACATCCTACCCCTCATCCCTCACCCTTCACCCCTCACATTTCAATATACACCCCTAACACTTCACCCCTCACCTACTACCCTTCATCCCTCACCCTTCACCGTTCACCCTCACCCTTCACCCCTCACCCTTCATCCCTCACCCTTCACCCTTCACCCCTCACTCTACACCCCCACCCTTCATCCCTATGTTCTCTAAATCGTAAACCTCGATAAACAAGACTCACTCTGACCACAAGAGTAAGATCTTTCAAGACTTTCGATAAGTTCCCACAATTTATCTTAATAATGTGTAATGACTTATATAAGTACCATGAAGTTTGACGCCAAATCTCAACGTGCCATTAAGCAGAGACCCAATAGGACTTGATCACACACTAGTAATTTTGTGAAATCCCTGAAGAATTTAGTCATTTCATGTAATTACTTTTTCACTCGGGGAATTCACGAAATTACTCAAATATCTAGGAACTTTACGAAATTACAGAACTATTGTTATTATTTTTACACGATCTTATTGGATGGCTTTAGACAATTTGTTGAGACTACCACACCATATTTGCCATGATTCCTAATACGCGTATATATGAAACACTAAGTTATTGACGTAAGTGTGACTTGTCGTTTCCTCCAAGTGAGTTTATCTACAGTCTGTATAACACGTAAGTACAACACCCAAGTGAATCATAAGAGTATAGGGATAATGTTATATAGTTTGTTCATTACTTTGTTTTGGTGATGATCTGTGTTGGTAATGCTGCCTGGTAGACGTCTTCGAACGCATTGAGTTGAGAAAATTATATGGTTGTGTTTTATCTCCTTGCTTTTTGTCTTTTCATTTTTATTTTAATCAATTAATCAAAAGAGTTAATCAAAATAAGAACCAAATTCTCAAAGGTTCTTCACAGTTGACGGACACTGAGACACTGATGAGGTACAGAGTTTGGAAGCGTTGTTTAGAGGTTCACGACCAGCGGTGATATGTGTTCGTTACAATGAACTTTTTCATATGGGATAATCGTCTCTGTAATTAGAAGAGTAAAGGTTTCTTATGTGCATAGAATAAATGCGGTTGAAAATAAAAATTAGTTATTAGCCATTAGGTATTTTGTAAATTCAAAGAGCAAGATACAATCGAAGTCTTCTGACAGTAATGAGACAGGTTCAATCAGTCCCATGAAGCTCCGACACCTACTCCAAGATGTTTTATGAACTACGACGGTCGGTCAGTTTAGTTGCCGCTGTTGCCGTGTTAACAGTGAAGTGTTAAGAGTCGTCGTTGGTGTGGGAATATAATATCAAGAGGTAAGTGGTGGTCAACACGGGCTGTATTTGTGGAGGTTAATGTGTTAATTATGAGGATGTACAGTATAGTAGACTACACAGTGAGGCTGACTCAACTCAACACGTTCAACTGCTAAAACTACACAACTTTACCTTATTCCCCGTTACTAAAGGTTCTTACCAATTGTTAGATGTTCTGGGTAATAAGTTCTATATACAGGAGAGAACACAAACACCTGTATAGTTTTGTAGGTTCGGTTTACTGGATAAGAGTATGTACACAGAGGTGGGTAGCACTGCTCCCTAGCTAAGGTCCGGGTCAACTACCATAGACGACGTATGGCAAGTGATACATTAGCAGCTTCCATACGTCGCCAGGCACATTAATTAAGCGTGTGGGATATGGTAATAACATTGCCACACGCTGCTAGCTAGGCTGAATAAATATAAATGGAGCACATACATAATATACATAATACATAATCCAGCATACATAATATACATACACCTCCCTCCCCCTATACGCTCATAGCAAAGTCTTGAGCGGACCTTTTCTTCTGGATCCGTTCTGAGCGTCGAGGGACTTCATCACTGGGAAGGGTATGGGACTCAACACTGGTGGCGGGGCCAGCAGAAGGCAGTGTTACGGGGCGGAGAAAACGGCGGTTCCTCCACCACACACGACCACTGGGTAACCGCACCTGGTAGTCCCGTGACCTGCCGAGACCCATGACTACGCCTACTTTGTCCCAACGTAGGGAGGTCGGGTCCTGAACACGGACTTGGGTGCCGACACTCAACCTGGGGAGGGAACGGGCGTGGTCGTTGTAGCGGGCGACGACGTCCTGAACACGTTCGGCGGCTCGGCGATCACAATCCTCTGTCTTGGCCTGCCACTCCTTGGAGAAGGATTGAGGGTGAGCAGGGACACAAGAACGAAGGGGGCGCCCATACAAAACCTGGGCAGGGGAGCGTCCGGTGTAGTTGGGTGTGTTGCGGAGTTCAAGAAGACCCCGGTCGAAGGCCTCGCAGTCAATGTTCCCAGAAGGGGCCACCTTAAGGATGAGGTGCTTCAGGGATTTGACAGCAGCCTCAGCGTGGCCGTTGGACTGCGGGTAATGGGGCGATGACAACACATGCCGGACTCCCCATCGGTCAAGGAACGCAGCAAAGTCCCGGCTTGTGAACTGAGGCCCTCCGTCGGTTCGCAGGCGTACAGGAACGCCCACGTCACGGAAGTAGTGGCGGAACTTGCTGATGGTGGCGGCAGACGTCGTGTCATTACCGCCCTTGATGACAACCGGCCAACCAGAGAGACGGTCGACGATAACCAGGAAGGACTTTCCTGACACACAGAAAAAGTCGGCCGACACAGACTCAAAGGGGCGGGTGGGGTTGTCGTCACTCATGAAGGGTACCTGCTGCTGGCTGGGTTGTAATACGTGGCGGGGCTTACACACCTGGACAGCATTGGAGATGTCGGGGTCGATGCCAGGCCGGAACGCAGTCTGTCGTGCACGTCGTTTGGTGGCCTCAGCTCCACGGTGACTGTCGTGAAGGCGAGCCAAGGCGTGGGGACGTGATGCAGCAGGGACAACTACCGAAGGAGAGGTGTCACTGGCCAGAGGTAGGGGTAGGGCGGCAGCAGGGTAGTTGCTGCTCCCTTCGTGCACCCTGTTGGCGTAATTTACCTCGAGAATCGGTGTTGGGAAGTCCTGGGAGATGATGGCCAACTCTTGACAATGTCTGTAGGACAGCAAGGGAGTCGGGACACCATTATGCACATCAATCCAGGCTTGACACGACCTGTTGCCAAAGGTGACTTGTGCTTGGAGTGAACCCAGGGCCGGGGTCATCTGTGAACCATCTGCCATAAAGCGGAGATCCTTGGGGGGCGGTCCTAGATCACTTGGAGAGAGCCCCAAGCATTGCAAATGCTGGGGACCGATGACTGTAGCATCAGCGCCGGTGTCGGGCAACATCTGGAGACGGGATGACACACTGCGGTAGGTCACAATGACACTGATGTACTGGGGAACTTTGGTCCTGGGACGCGGGGGGGAGCACACATTCCTAATATGGCTCCAGCGTTGTCCAGGGTCGTCGTGCCTCTGATTGGGAGACTGTGGGCGGCCCTCTCTGGTAGAAGGGCGCTGAAGCTTCCGTTGACGCTGTTCCTTGGGTTTGTTGGAAGGGCAACACTTGTCATAGTGGCCCAGACGGCCGCACACATTGCACTGGACGCGTTTGGCTGGGCACCGTACTGTGAGTGACCAGTGGCCCTTACGGTCACAACTGTTGCAGGTAGACTGAGCAGCTGGACATACCTGTGTTCCGTGCTGCTTACCACAGTTGTTGCAAAATGAACCGGGCGTGGACGTGGTGGGCGAAGGCGTAGGAGCAGACTTCTTGTCCTTCTTGTACCGGGAAACAGCGCGTACAGCTGTAGGGGGAGCTCGGATGGCAGAGGTGGCACACCTGGCAGCCTCATAGGAGCGACATATCGTCAACACATCCTGAAGAGAAGAGGAAGAGTCGAGGGAGGTGAGGCGTTGGACAAGTTCCTCGTCCTTAACACCCATCAGGATCACCTGCTTCAACTGGGTCTCCTCGCACTGCTGGTGGTGGCCTAAACATATATCTACCTCTTCCGAGGCTCTCTTAAGACGTACATAAAAAGCGTCAAAAGACTCACCCTCCATCTGTCTGCAGCTAAACAATTCCCTCCTGCGCAGAGCTTCATTCTGCTGTCCTTTGATGTGCCGTTGAAGAACGTCCAGTACCTCCTCTACAGACAGCGAAGAGGTTGGGGGTACCTGCAACGTATGTTCTAAGACACGCTGAACTTCCAAGGACAGGCACATACGCAGCTGGATGAGTTGTTTAGGCTGTGACAAACTCTGGAGATCCACCATTGTAGCATAATCAGCCCACCGCCGCCGCCATTCGCGAAAAGTCTGGAAATTTACATCAGGCTCCAAGATGGGCGGTGTTTGAGCTGCTGCTTTAGGTGGGGCT